CCCGAGTCACCTCTGTGTCCTCCATGCCCGGCACAGAGCTATGCCCAGTTTGGCCACTGTAACTGAGCATAAAACTATTAAACAATGACAGGTTGTCAGCAGCAGGAGGGTGCAGAGTGAGCATGACACTGAGAACCGAAAGATGAAGGTGGCTCCTGGTGCCACTTCTCAGGAGCTATGTGACCTTGGGTAAGTGACACAGCCTCTCTGAGCCTCCTCGGCTCCCTTATAAGGGAACACAGATAGTATTTACAACTCTTGGGGCTGTCGTGTGGAATCATTACCTACATAAGGAAATAGGGGAGGGGCCCAATAGGCTCTCAAGCTGAACAAGCGGGGTGCAGGATGGGGTGGAAGCTTCTGAGAGGACAAAACCCTTTCCAGAGTGGGAATCTAGGAGTGCTGGACACAGGGTGAGCTGCGCCCTGGAGGGCTTGGAGGGTTTGGGCAGAGGTAGAAAGGACAGGGCACCCCAGGTGGCGAGGAGAGGTGGGCACAGGCTAGGGGGCAGGAAGCTGCGGCATCTCAGCCTAAGAGTGGGTCTAGGTTGTTCCGCGAGGCTCGGGCACTCACCTGAGCCCCCGTTCCAGCTGGGCAGTGACGGGGTGGGCTGGTCACTTAACGCTATAAAATGGGCAGAGCCATACGCCGGACTCAAGGTCAGCTCGTGGCTGTGTTAGTGACTGTAACTAACTCCACCCCTGTGTCTGAGTTCATCAGTGCACAGGGTCTTTCACTTCCCTGAGTCCCACCCTCCTCCTGGCCCAGGGCTGGGCTCCCAGCAGGGCAGGGAAGCCTTGGAGGAAAGGACTCACTGCGCGCTGGGGTAAACCACAGAACCCAGGCACACACCTGGCCCCGCGCCCATGTCTGCCTCGACGTGCCAGTGGCTCATCCGCCCAGTCGTTCACTCATTCACACCTTCATGGGTTCAATGACCCCCCTCTGTGCCCCCCCTAAGCTCAGCCCCGGGCACCCCAGGGTGAGCCCAGCCCCACCCCTGCTCTGAGGAGTGCTCCCTGTTTCTGTGGGACCACAGCCGGTCCTCCTCCCTGCTCTTCCTCCCTCCCACTGGAGCCCCCAGTGCCCCTCCACACTGGCCCCCATTCTCTTTCCCCTCAGCAAAGCCAAGGAGCCTCCCCAAATCCTGCTGGGCAGTAAGGCAGCAGGCCGGCAGGCCGGCCCCCAAGCCAAGCCGCCCTCTCTCCCTGCAGTCAGCAGCCCAGCAGGCAGCCTGTGAGTCTGACACGCCCCACCGTCCCCCTCTGTGAGGGCTTTGCACACAGGCCGGGGCCACTCAGTGCAGGGCGAGAAGACCTGCACCCCACACGGCCCCCGCAGCAGCTGTCGGTCTGGCCCCCAGTGCGCCGACTGCCATGCTAAGGGCCCGCAGCGTCACATGAGCATGTCTGGAGCACCCACCCTGCGCCGGGCGCCCCCCAGGAGCACACGCACCAAGGAGAACCGAGCTGGGTGGAGGGAGCCAAGATTAGCGGCTGAGGGAGGTGGTGGGAGGTGAAGGGGACCTTATAGATGCTTCCAGAGCCTAGAGGAGGGCGTGGAGCAGGGGAGAGGTCTGGGCGGAGAAAGCAGATGGGGCTCTGCAAGTAGACGGGGCAGGGAGCAAGCGGCCCAGACAGCAGCATGGCGGACGGGTGACCGCCTCTGCCGAAGCCACCAGCACGGCTGCTGCCCTGTCCTCAGGCCTGCCACATCACCCAGGGGAAGAAGCGACAGGGAACGCGGCTCAGTGGAAGGGGAGGCCGGCTCAGAATTCCCGTCGTGCCACTGCAAGCTCTGACCGCAGGGCGCGCTAAATTCCTAGTCTCTGTTTCCCCGTCTGTGTGATGGGGGCGACAACAGTGCCGTCCCCCAGGGCTGGCCAGAGCCTGAAGGGGATGGCCGAGTGCACGGCCAGCACACATGGACCACAGACCGCAGCCCTCGACCGTGCGCACAGGGACACGTCCTGGAGGCTGCAGACAGCAGGTCCGGGGGGCCCACTGCCAGCGAGTCTCACTCCGTGGGCCTGGGGAGGGGACCAGGAATGTACATTTCCACACACCCCTCCCCCGCCAACTGATTCTGATTCGGAGACAGGTGGAGAGAACTCACTCGAGAAATGCTGTTGTTCCCAGCATTTACTTTCGTGGTCTCACCTGATGCTCAGGACGGTCCTGCACACCTGACCCAGTCACCCACTTCCCAGGTGCAGAAAGAGGCATGTCAACAGCCCCAGGTCATGGGGTCATGGGGTCGAGGGGGGCCAGGAGGGTCTGTCCTGGGCCTGCCAACCCCCAAGGCCGGGCCGATCCAAGCAGGACGTGCCAGGCCCCCTCCCTGGGCAGAGGCAGGTGGGCGTCCCAGGCCTCCCCACCGCCCCCATCATTGCTTCCTCCTCTTCGCCGCTAATCAGGCCTCACACACCATCCCGTTTCCTGCCGGCAGCTGCCTCCTTTGCCCTGATAGCACTTCCTGGCCTTGCACCTTCCCCTTGTACCTCCTTAGCCCCCACACAGGTGGGAGCAGGGGTGGGCGGTGGCAGACATTGGGCATGAGACCCTCAGGAGCACTAGCCTCCCTCCTGGGGCCTGGACTACCTCAGCATGGTCACCCTGTCCCCACCCGAGGGGCACAGGCCTGGACGGCCATCCCTTGTTTATGACAGGACAGGAAAAGTGGGTTTCGGGGCAGAGTCAACTTCCCCACAGACTGGAACACAAAGGAACCAGCAGATGGTGGCAGGGCAGACCCTGCCAGGGTCCACCACCAGTCACAGGCAGGCCGGAGACCCAGCAGGAAGCTATGCCCTGTGGACACGGACACCACGAGGGCGAGGGCAGAGCCGGCCCAGACAGAGTGAGGGGCTGGAGCACCAGGGACGGGGCGGGCCGGGCCGGGCCTGGCCTGGCCTGGCCTGGCCTGGCTGCTCAGAGGCCACCCCCGGCCCCAGGCAGGAGAAGGCAGAGTTAATCCAGTTGGAGAAGCAAAGGCTGAGCTTTGTTTGCTCCACAAACAGTGATCAAATGTGCTGGATCCCACTCAGAGGCCACCTTAGGGCCGAGACCTCCAGCAGACCTGGCCTCCCCCGACTGCTGGACATTCCCTCGGCATACAGACATTGCTTTAAAAAAATTTTTTTTAAATCAAACAGTTTCTTTAATTTTGTTTTTTCAGGTCTTTTTTTTTTTAAGATTTTATTTATTTATTTTTAGAAAGGGAAGGGACAAACAAAAAGAGAGAGAGAAGCATCAATGTGCGGTTGCTGGGGGTCATGGCCTGCAACCCAGGCATGTGCTCTGACTGGGAATCGAACCTGCAACACTTTGGTTCACAGCCCAAGCTCAATCCACTGAGCTATGCCAGCCAGCGCTAAAAAAAAATGTTTTATAAAAGCCAGGAAGCCTCCCACTCACTGCAGGTCCTGGGGCAGGGGCTGTGATGCACACGGCTCTGTGTCCTCGCCCCCTCGCCAGCCCCCCATCTGTCTGTCTGCTCCTCTCCATTTAACCTGCTCTGTCACAGCCACCGACGGCCTCCCTCTTCCAAAGCCACGCTCCGGTCTCCAAGGGTGACCCAGCTGACACCTCCCACTCTCACCTCACTTCTCTGACTTCCCTCCCTCTACGGGCTCCCTTCCCTCGAAGAGGATCTACACACCTCAGGGGTCCGAGGCCCCCTCCCTGTGGGCACCTCCACTGCCAGGACCCCAGGTGCCGGCCAGAAAGAAGTCCCTGGCTTCCAACCTCATCTCCAGGCCACCTGTATCCATCTGCCCGTCTCCAACGGCCAACTTAACATCGCCACCTGGGTGTCCGAGGGCCATCGCAAACTCAACACGCTCAGAAATCCTGACCTCCCCCTCCCCAAAACACATCCCCCCCCCACACCATGCCCCGTCTCCAGACTCAGTGGGCAGGGCGTCCACTGCCCTACTGAGTGCCCCCGGGCAGGGCCCTGTCCTCTCAGGTCTCTGTCCCGCTGTCTAACAGGACGAGTTCGGGACTTCCCAACCATGCGTTTGCCCGTGGAAAAATGGGCGGCTATTCAAAGGGCAGGTGCTTCCACTGTGCGCCCTGGGAGATTCCAAATCAGCTGGCCCGGGGGGTGGGGCCCCAGAATCTGTAGTTGGTGAAAGTTCCTCATATGACTTTTATATGAATCTGAGACACCCACCCCCACTTGCCCGCCCAGCTTCTTGGTCCCCGTGAGCTCTGGCCCTGCCTCGGCTGCCCTACCTTCCAAGCTGCAATTTGAGTTTTATGGCAACAGCCCTGTAGGGTTGAGGCTCTGATTATCCCCATCTCACAGGTGGGGAAACTGAGGCTCAAGGGCACACGACTGGCCCACAGTCACATCAGAAGCAGAACCTGGGCACTTGACTCCACCTGATATTCCTAAACCCACAGAGCCCCCCCAAGGCCAGGCTGGCACCGTGCACTGGAACCCCGCCCACCCCACCACCGATGGGGCCTCCCGGGCCAGGAGCAGCGATCTGTTCCCCTTCTCCACCCCGCACCACCAACCTCACCCCCGAGGCCCCTGAAGCCTCCTCAAATCCGGCAAAGTCTGTGCCTCCCCCCGCATGTCAGGAAGTCACCGGAGAGAACCCGGGCCCAAGCTGAACCTGGCGGGCTCTCCCTCCGACTCTGCTGTGCCCCAGCGGGGCGGCCGGCCTCAGACTGGCTGAGTCCCCTTGTCCTGAGCTATAAAACAGCAGTGATGGTGCCCGCTCTTGGGGTCACGAGGAGGATGGGCCAAGGCTCTTGGCAGGTGCTAAGGCCCCACTCGGAGCAGGTTTGAGGCCTGGGGTCAGAATATGAACTGAGCGTCCCAGGCGGGTCCAGGGCTAGGCCTGCGTGGGGACAGCATGGCCAGGACGGGGCGGCCGCCCCCCGCGGCCTGCCTATCTGCAGCCAGCCCGGCCCTCACACAGAAACAATAACAGGAAACCATCCCAGGGGGAAGTGGGCCAGGGCCAGCTGGAAAACCTGAAGGGGCGGCGGCCGGCCTCCCTCGCCGCTGCCGGGCGGGGCTCCCCTCGAGAGGCCGTCGGAGCTGCTCCGCAGAGCTCCGCAGAACTCAGCCTGGACAGACTGACTGACAGAACACGGACGCCGCTCAGCCCACAGCACGGTGAGTGAGCGCCCCCCGAGCCCCGGCCCAGCCCACACCCATCACCGTGGGCCCGACAAGGAGGGTCCCTCCTCCCCCACCTGCGGAGTGGCTACCGTTGGGGTCCCAGGGGAGAGCCAGGCCTGGGGCAGACGGGGTCTCCTCCTGGCCCGGAGCAGGGCCGGGAGCACACGAACGGGCATTCTCGGGGCTGAGGGAGTGGGCAAGGGCCAGGCTTTCGCATGTGTGGACTCTCCCCCTCGTGACCCCCACCGGCGCCGGGCTCAAAGGGAACGAGGGACCCCCTGAGCCGCCAGCACGCCAGGGCCAGAGGGCTGGCACCCAGGCCTAGGCCCCCTTGGTGCCCCTGCCCCCATGGGAGAGGACCGACCACGGCCTGCCCTCATGCCCTCGACCCCAGGCCCTGTGCTGGGCCCAGGAGAGGAGCCTGGGAAGGGGCGTGTGGAGCCTCGGCGCCTCCGCCAGCCGGCGCCCCCGGCTTCGGAACAGGCAAACGGAGGCTTAACTCCGGGTGCTCGAGGCCCTGCCGGGGGAAGCCCCTCCCCTGCCTGCCCCACTCAGAGCTGTGGGAGCTGGGGTCAGGAGGGCGGCCACCCTCTCCCCCGCAGCACCCGGGCACCCACGGCCCTCGAGTGTTAGGGAAGCCCCTCAAAAGGACCTGACTCAGGTGGTCGAGGTGAGAGCGTGGGCCGGAGACAGTGGTGCTGGGGGCAGACTCCGGGCCCTGCCGCTCGCTTCCCGTGTGACTTTGGGAAAATCCCTCCGCGTTACTGGTCTCCTGGTCTGCTGGCCTGAACGGTCCACTGTGGGACTGGAGGCGGCGCACAGGCAGCTCCTGTGCGGCGGAGCTCCTTACCTCCCCCCACTGCCAACCACCCCGCGGGTCAGCTACAGCCTCTCCGTTTCTCTGTGAAGGAAACTAGGATGGGGGGGGCTCGAACCAGGAGCTCACGCCCCAAAGCTCAGGCTCTTTCTGGCAGCTCGGAGCTTCTCCGTGTCTCAACTTTCTTGTCTGTCAAACAGAGGAGAGGGTCTCTTTATCAGGGAATTCAATGAGGCAACGGACACTCCTGGCTCCGGCAGTGGGTCCCAGTAGGGCATCTTCAAAAATTCACAGCTGGCTCAGTTGGTTGGCGCGTTGTCCCAGGCACCAAAAAGGTCACAGGTTCCATCCCCGTCAGGGCACATCCCCGGGTTGCAGGTTCGATCCCAGGTCAGGGCGTGCACAGAAGGCAACCAATCAGTGTTTCTCTCTCCCGTCAGTGATTCTTTCTCTCTCCCCTGCCCCACCCCTTCCTCTCCCTCTAAAATCAATAAACACCCTTGGCTGAGGATGTTTTTTAAAAATCACAGCTGAACTTACCCGCTATCCCAGAGCTGACTGTGGCTGTGAATCCACGTGACTGGACCACAGAGGTTTCGGCCCCTGAGGTCAGGAGGCCCCAGCAGGTGAGGGGGCCAAGTGAAAGCCAGAGGACCTCGCCTCCGCCCGCCCTCTGGCAAGCACACGGGGAGTTCCTGTGAGCCAAGCACCACGTGCTTGTTCCCCAACCAACAGGGACGTTGCTGCCCCGAGGGGTGGGCAGACAGGACCCTGCAGGGGGAGAAGGGCATCCTGGGGGAGGCCGGTGTGTGTGGCCGGGGGGCTTGGAGAGCAGGGCACGGCAAGAGGGCTAGCGATGCTGCAGGCCAGGAGCGCCTGGACCAGGCGCTTTGGTTCACTTTCAGGGGCCAGGCAGCAGGGTCTCTCCTGTTATGGCCCGAATCCAGCCACCCGTGGGCTCCGGCCCGCAGGGCAGCAGCGGACTCCGAGGGCCTGGGAGCCGCTGAGCCCCAGGCAGCCCTGCCGACTCCAGCTTCCTGCAGTGAGGGGGTAGGGGAGGCATCCACTGGCCTTGAAGGGGTTAAACTGCCCGCCCTGCAGTCTGGGCCTGAGCAATTGTGCTGCTGAACAAGGGCCGGACATGGGGGCAGGAAGCTAGAGGGGGCCATGCTTATTTTCTCCCAGAGTCAGGTGACTCACAGCTCTGCTGCTGCCTCGGGGGCGCAAGGTGGACACAGCGGCCACCAGCTTGGGGAAGCTGTTAAGCCCCTCAGCCCTGGGGGCCCACGCCTGCTACATCCGTTGCTTCTCTGCACCCCATACACCCCCGCCCCAAGCAACCCTGAAGCTACTAAAAGAATGCCCATTTGACAGATGGGACCACAGAGGCTGAGAGAGGCTGCGTGGTGAGGTTACAGCACAAGATGAAAGCAGGATGTGAGTGAGACCAGATCCTCCTGACCCCACAGCCCCCACCACACTCCGTAATCAAGCTCAGAGAGGGGATAAGGCAGGGAGGGTTGGACCTGACCGTTCAAGCCACAGAAGCAGGAGTCAGGATGAGCCAGGAGCCCAATAACCCTAAGGAAGGAATGTTCCAGGAGATAAGATCTATCCTGAGGAGCTTGGCTTGTGGCTGGAGAAATACTGAAAAACCCATCCTAACCCAGGTCCAAGATGATGTTGGGTGGAGAGATCATGGAAGGCTTCCTGGAGGAAGCAGAGAAGCACCAAAAGATATTGGCAGGCCTTGGGTCCATAATCTGATCCTCAGTCTTCTGTCTCTAGGGCAGGGGATGAACCCAAAGGGCCCCAAACTCTTTCAGGGACCTCCAGACGGCCTGCATGGGGCCCCAGAGTAACCGTCAGATCCTGGCACGTGTAGAGACCAGGAAGAGGAGGGAGTGGGGCCCGGGGGACCAGGCCAGGCAGGCAGTAAATGAGATTTCCTTCTGGGGAAGAACAGAGGGGAGCAGAAGTGGGCCCAGGGCAGAACCAGGAAGTGAGGTCAGGTGTGACTCGGCCAGTCGAGTTCATAGCCTTCTAGGCCAGGACTTACTGAGCACCTCCCATATCCTGGGCTTCAGACCGGTGATTTCACTTAATGCTCCTGACGAGGGATGCAGCTGTTCCTGAGGAAGCAGCGAGCTCAGAAAGGGCAAGGAAGGGGCGGGCCTGCGGCCACGCAGCTCATGGGCAGGTTCAAACAAGCAAGTGGTGGAGCTCATTCTGCTGCCCCCACCAACTGCCTCCGAGCCCCAGGCAAAGTCGGAAGGCCCAGAGGAGCCTGGGAAAGGCTCTGTAGAGGGAGGGTGTTCTCTCCTTGAAGCTTGGAGACGCCCCATGAGGAGACAGGGGCATAGACCCATGATCCTAGAACCCAGCGACCCGAGCACAGATTTGTTTCAAATCGCAAACCAGCTCTGCTGAAGTTGTGGTACCTGCTTCAGAGTCTGTATTGAAGATTCGGGGGCCGAGTTCAAGTTCAGGGGGAATAAACCCTGTGGTTGATCAGTGATGTCTACCAAGGGTGTGGGAACAAGTGAGTGACAACCTATGAGGTCTGTTTTCCCAGCCCTCCTGCAAGAGGCCCCCTGCACAGGGGAGGTGTGTGTTCATCAGGGACCCACAAGAAGGCTAATCTTTTTTTTATATTGTTTTTTTAAAGATTTTATTTATTTATTTTTTAGAGAGGGAAGGGAGGGAGAAAGAGAGAGAGGGAGAGAGAGAGAGAGAAAGAGAGAGAGAGAGAAACATCAATGTGCGGTTGCTGGGGATCATGGCCTGCAACCCAGGCATGTACCCTGACTGGGAATCGAACCTGCGACACTTTGGTTGGCAGCCCGCGCTCAGTCCACTGAGCTACGCCAGCCAGGGCCTGCAAGAAGGCTAATCTTAATGTTCTCATCAAAGGATCGGCCCTTCGAGTGGTGTGTCTAATAGCATCATGGCCATCAGCAAGACTATCTGGGGACAGGGAAGCGCTTCTTGGAGTTAAATCAACTATTGCACTGCTCCGCACACCCAACAAGGTGTTGTCTGCAAATAGGCAGATTTGTTCCGAACCCCATGAGTGGAGACAGACACAGTGGCAAGGCCAGCACTGGGGACTGAGGCAGGCTGGCAGGCAGCAGTGGGGACACCAGGGCACAGAGTTCCCGCCCGCAGCTGGGTGTGGGATGCAGTGGAGACAGACCCGGACCTGCCCGGTCAGAGACACTCGGCTGTGCTGGGGGCAGGACTCGATCAGGAGACCTCATGAAGGAAGTGGCCTGGGGCTTGGAAAGAAGCACAGCATTCACTCGGGGGACACAGCAAGGAAGGGCATTCGGGAGCAGGGAACAGCCTGTGCGGAAAGCCTGCAGGAGAGAGGAAGAGCACTGTGCAATCTAGGAAGGCCCTGTTCTCCTCCGGCAGGGAGGGGCAGGGAGGTGAGGAGAGGAGAGCCAGAGGGGTGGGCGGGAGACAGACTGTCCTTCAGGGCCTTGGACTCTGGCTCAAGAGCTACATTCACCCTGCAGGGAGTGGGGCCCCAGGGAGAGGGGTCAGCAGGGGAGCTGTGTGGTCCGTGTGGTCAGCTCTAAACAGAGTCAAGGTAGGGAAGGACCCGGAGGGGAGGGGATCAGGTCTGGGACCCACGGGAGCAGGCCCCTGGGCCGAACTGAGCCACAAACCAGGAGAAAGCCCAGGGGAAGCTCTTAGCTACCCAGGCCCACCCCCAGCACGCCCCACCTCTGAGGCTCCCAGGGCCTCACCCTTCACCCTCCCCGTGTGTGGCTGCCGAGGCCCAGCTACAAATGCTTGGGCTTAGAGGACAATCTGGGAATCCGTGAAGGAGTCTGGGGATCCCTAGCTCCAGCCTCTGCCCTCGACTGAGGCTGTGGGGTGGGCGGGTGCAGGGAAGAGCTGCCCAGGGCCACACAGGGAACAAGGGCAGGGGGTGTGACCCAACGCGTCCCCTCCCAGAGACACGCCTCCCACAGGACTGGGGCCCAGCCCCTCATCCCTGACCTGGGCCTCTGGGCCGGAGCCCAGAGCCTGCAGGAGGCGGTGCTGGGACTGAGTGTCCAGTCCCCCTTCTGGGGCTTCAGCTGGAGCTGGGCCCAGCTGGCAGGTCTTGTCCCAGCTGACAGAGAGTGTGCTGGGCGGGAACAGGGGGGCCAGACCCCAGGAACAG